GGTCCTCTCGCCGAGCGCAGAACAACCCCGGTTTCAAAAAAAAAAAAAAAAAGTTCTGTTTGGCCCGCGCGGTTTACCCGGGCAGCTGCCCCGGGCCCAACCGGCCGGGCCGAGCCCAACCGGCCGGGCCGAGCCCAACCGGCTGGGCCGAGCCCGGCCGGGCAGCGTCCTCACTCAGATCCAAAGACAGTTATTTTTTTCCTTCTCTTTTTGAATCTAAGAATTCTTGGTTAAGTCATGAGCAAATTCAAAATTGCAATCCATTGACTAGAGTCAAAGATGATGACCTGTAAACGCACCAATCGGATGTTACATGCATGACCCGTCTAGACCTTATCATAACGCTCCGGATGCTTTCCTCACAAAGTGGGTGAAATCAACGTTGTTTTGTTTGTTTGTTTGAATCGGTTTGATAACAAAACAGGCCCTTATGGTCCTGGCTCTATAATAATGAGTCTATAATACTCTATATCCATTCTGGGGAGCATCAGTCCGGTTCCTAATCCACCGGCAAGTCATGGATTTTCGACAAGCACGCTTCCTTCCGTTCGACCAAAGGACCCATGAACAACATTGATTAATCCATTTCCATGGAGGATTGACTGTCAGCTTGCCGTTCCTTCTCTCATCCCTCTGAGACCTTTTGCCAGGTCTGCCAGATTGAACTTGATAACCAACAAGAATGAGATCGACAAGCCAGAGAGTCAGACGCTCCCAAGGCCTCGTCAGTTAGTAAATCGATCAGAAAGGCTGACCGCTGTTTCTTATGTCCCCTGTGGGATTCGAAGGTTCTGGCTGTTGACCATCTTGCATAGTTGCGGCGCACCAGTGTGCAGTGCGGTGTGAGGCGGTGCGCACTGAGCTGTGCGCTGGAATGACAGCGCGCACACTGTGCGCCGTGCGCTGCGTGCAGTGCGCAGTGCGGTCCGCTGTGCGTGGTGCGCGCGCTGACGGAGGTGCGCCCTGTGCGCGATATTTAAAAAAAAAAAAAAAAACAGGCCCCCGAGAGAGAGAGAGAGAGAAGAGATAACAAAGGGTCCCCTTCACGTCAATTCGAGGGGCCCTGCAGGTACCTCGAATGACTCCTACGTTACATGTGGAGTCATCGAGGGCCACTGCTTCAATTAGGAGGATGGTCTCGTCATCTGTAGAAGAGRTGGGGCAKACCACCAATATATGCTTTGGATTCGAGTTCAAGGCTGTAGCTCGGCAGTTATGGGTCACCAATTCAGC